CTGGTCTTTCCTCCTGCAGTATGCACCAGTTTCCCCTGGTTAATGAGATATCTGAGAAAGGAATTCAAATAATTGAGTATCTTCTGAAGGACAGGATCTTTAGGTAGACAGGGGATCGTTAGAGAAAGCTCTTTCTTCTCTTTGCTATTCACTGGGTGCTCTTAGTTTAAAGTCTAAAGTGGCATATTTTGGGGTGTCATTTTCTAAGCCCCAATGAGAGACAGACAGAGAGAGAGAAAGAGAGAGAGAGAGAGAGAGCTAAAACATGCAAGTCACAATCGTTTATAACCTGATCTTGGAAGTGGCATCCTATCACTTTGTAACATTCTGTTCATCAAAGGTAAATCACTAGGTCTAGTTCATGCTCAAGGGGAGGGGATATACAAAGGGAATAAATAACAGAAGGGAGTGACCATTGGAGAATAGAGCAAGGGCCTACCACAGGCACTTGTCATTCATGACATTCTTGTTAATATATTTGTTAACCGATTCATAGGAGAGTGTTGAGCACATTACAACATTCAATACATACCTGCAGAATTTTAATTTGTCAAAAATCTCTATGTCACAGATGTGAACTATATTGTATCAAGTCCTCTAGTAATTTAGAATGTTCCAATTTTCCAAAATAATTTCCTAAGTCAACCTACCTCCCAATGTAAAAAACAGGCAAATATAATTCAGGTTATATTATGATTAGCTAAGTGAACTATTTATATGTGTTTTCCAGCTCACATATGGAAATGAATATTTGGGTTCTAGCCATTTACCTATCCCCCCACCCCACTCCACAGAGATTTGAACCCTGTATTCTATCTTAGATCTGCAAGCAAGTTCTATATTAAAATGTACCTACTGTGTCCTTTTTCTTTTTAAATGAAATTTTAAGAATTGTATTTTTATTTGACAAGCAATCGTATGTCTTATGTATTTACTGGGTACAATGTACACCTGTTAGAAAAGCTATTGTCTGAAAGATGAAAGATAAATGTCCGTAAGGGTGTTGAGAAAAGCAGACCCTTGTATAGTTTGTTGGGACTCAGAAACTGATACCCTGAAATATGTCACTAAAGCAGTGTCTGGGGTTCGAATATCTGAGGTTCGTTGCCTCATGCCAGGGAAATCAAGGACAGGGACACACAGGGAGTGAGTTTAAGAACAGAAGTTTAACAGGCAAAGGACAAACGCTCCCTTGTGCAGAGGGAGGGTTCCGAGCACACCTCCCAGTTGGCGACCAGAGGCGGCTGGTTTTACAGATGAGCTTGAGGACACGATGTCTGATTCCCACAGGGTTTGAAGGATACGGTGGGGCAGGTGTGTCATTTACATAGTGTGTGAAGAAGTTGGCCACCCCACCGTAACCTTTATTATGCGGGTGAGTTCTCTACCTGGCTGGCACCATGTTGCCTGCTCCTTTACTGCACCTGTGGTGACAAAAAAAAAAAAAAAAGCGGAAGGCGGAGCCTCGGTGTTGAACAGACTTGGCTTCCAGGTATCCCTTTGTGTTGGCGCAGCTGCCAGCATTCACCGTGCAAGCTTCTGGCTTGCCTCTCTATGTCTGCAGCTCGGTTTTACAGGCTGCCCTTTGTTAGAAATTATTTGGGGCTGTTTTTTGTTGAAAGGGAGGCCTCGCTGAGGACTGGTTTGCCCTCACTATCTGCCTACGTAATTTCTAGCTCCTATAGCAGCACTTGGACATGCTGAACTGAAGAGGAAGCCTCAAGATCTCTCTGACCTTCCTCCTTCAAACCCCCGTCTCTCAGTCCTCTGTGTCTCAAAGCACAGGATGAAGCTGTTCTCCAGAGTTTCTTACCTGCCTAAAGTCTGCACCTACCAGAGAAGAAAACCACTGCCTCTGGCCCTTCCCTGAATGCTCATGAGCTCAAACGATATTGCAGGAAGGAAGACTGAAGTCGGACAGCAAACCTGGGCAAACTTTCCTCAAAACCAAGGTCCCTTTGTGAGCTGAAAAGACTTTGTCCCAGGCTGCTGTATGTTCTTTAAGCTTATTGAATCCGCTTAAAAAGTATCTATACTTCCTCATCTCTCTTTCCCCTGAGAAACAGAGTATATAACATTGGTGTACCATAGCGATACTAGACAATTACTCTGTCATTCTCCTCAGGGCACGCTAATACATTATATACCTTTTCTCCAAGTAATCTGCTTTTTGTGAGTTGATTTTTCAGTGAAGCATCAGAGGGCAAAGGGGAGGCTTTCCCTTGGCCCCTACGACTTGCTATAAATGTAAATTAACGCAGCCATTATGGAAACAGTATATCGTTTTTCTTTGAAACGTAACGTACTGCTACCCTCTCATCGGATTTCTTTCTCTTCATCATATGTAAAGACTTTATGGAGAATTAGGGTAACACACACAGTGGTATGTGCTCTTCTTTTGACATACTTGTCAAGCCACACTTGACAATATAGTTTTCAGTTCTTTCTAGGGTAGAGGATTTAGGGGGAATACACACACACAAAAATGGGAAGCGAGAGATGTTATTTTACTTTTGTTACATTTATGAATGTACATACAGACCCCAGAAACATATAAACAAATATCAGAATATACATATCTTCCTTCAAAATTTGAGAAGAGTAAAAATGATTTTACTCCTTTTTCTAAAAATAAGTTCTAGGCTTGCTGTGCTGGAACCTGCTGAAAAGCATGTTGTTCACCTGAAAGAGAGAGAAGAAACGATATCCTGAAGACTTAGGGTAAAATAAATGATATCACCAAACACAAACGGATATACTGAGTGCTATACAAACCCCAAAGAGCATATTACAAGTTGAAGAGGGTACGGTATCAATTATATCATTATCTCACCCTACTCTCTGGCTGAATAGTCTGAAAGCCTAAAATTACAGTTGATGTTAGATTTCTTGGCTTCATTTGCAAATTGGAGTCATTTTCCCCCTTTTTGTTGAATGCCATAAACACATGTTTTATTGTTAAAGAGTAGCAGTCCTTTTAGTTTGTTATGATGTTTTTCTTCTTTTTGTCCCTCATGTCAAAGGGCCTTTAAAAAAAATGGATTGTAGCAAATTGGTGTAACATTGTATTTCTGAATGATTTGCAATGGTCTTAAGTACCATTTGTGCTTAGGCTTTTTGGCATACCATTTTTTAGGAGACCAGATCTGGAGAAGGCCCTTCAACTGGCCAGATGTGCCATTTTGGAACAGATCGAGGGCCTGCCAAAACACCATTTGTTGCCAGTACCGGATATTGTAGGGGTGCTCATCACCCTGTTACCATATTTTTGCACTTCTTAACGTTGCATAAATAGGCAGCTGTTCCGTATTTAGAATATAAATGAGTCACCAGCTTGCTCTCCCTGGAGGATTTACCTGCAAGAGGGAACCCCAGTGTTAACCCCTTCTCATCAGTTGCATGAATGTCACATTTAAATGCACGCTTTCCTCAGCCCATTCAGAAGCAAATCCTTATGCATACAAATCACACCTTTCTTGCCAGTTAGACAAGGGGGCCAAAAATATGCAGTTCACAGTGCTAAAATGGAACACATTTCTTTAGCAGTGAAAGCAGTAAATTAATCAGCTTATAAACTGAGAGTGAACAATTTGTGCTGAATTATTTCTTACTGCTCCTTCAATAAGAGACAAGTTCTCTAATCTCATAAAGGGCCATGACTTCATTAAGATGGAAAACCGTGTTAAAGGATGTGTTGCAAGAGACGAGAAAAGAAAAACCCTGGAAGTCACTGAGTTGTCTCTCTGGAGCTCTTTTAAGGACGGGGAGTTTTATTTATTTGGAGAATGACAATTAACCTGCAGACTTGGCACAACAAAGCAGCAGAGTGCTGAAGTGGGTCTCATTATAGGACACGGAGGGCAGTTGGTTTGACCTCATCCCCACTCGCAGCACGTGATTTACATACCAGGCTACCACAAGCTGCCTAATGTTGATTTCAAACAGCTCGATGTGTGCGTGTGTCTGCGTGTGTGTGTGTGCAGGTTCATTTTACCTCGAGGTACTTTGGAACCAAACTTGTCAGTGTTGGATGTCCAAGCACAGAAACAGTGAAGCCGGTCAGGAAAAGCAGAGGCAGTTGTAGTATGTGGTACATTTGCTGATCTCAACTACTTTTTTGAATGTTTACCCTAAAATTGACGTAGCTCTGATTTACCACATAAACGCAGTCCTCTAGGGCTGAGCCATCTCTCCAGGCTTTTCATCTTGTCAGGAGCAGAGAAGCGCAAGTAGATAGATAGGTGACATTTGGAGAGGCTGGCATGCCAGATTTTCGGTGGTTACAGCGGAGGCCCAACCTGCTGTTCTCCTTAATGAAAGGAAGGAAATTTCAGACAGGCAAAACTGCTATAAGGGATATCTCTGCCCTGAATGTCACGCTGCCCAGATGTCACTTGGCAGGTGCAGTTGCAGAGAGAATGAAAATGTAGCCCTGCGTACGTGGGTGCTAGTGCGCTGCAAGGGTGAACTATGAGTCTGTCTTCTGAAGTGTAATGAAAACAGTGTGGATCTTGTCTATGTTCATGTCATGAGAAAGGACTTCCTCAAAGAATTCTCACCCCACTTTCCCTCACAGACCATTAGGCTTGCAGGCTCACAAACCACATGCGTATACACACACACACACACACACACACACACACACACACACACACGAGTTTCTATGTAGAAAATAGAATCATACTAATGAAGCGTTCTGCACCTTGCTTTTTTAATCAATCACACAACTGTACATGAATATTTCTCATTTTTTTGACTTATTTCATTTTTAAAATTGAATTTTTGACCAAAGGTGCACGATCATTTAGTCAGCCATTCTCCTGTTGATGATCATTTATGTTGGCTCTAGAATATTTTAAGGCGGATGTAGCTATGTTCTCAGTAAAAATCCAGGCGATTTTTACTAGAACAAGGTAAACAAGACTTGAAGTGACCTTGTACAGCAGAAAGCTTTAGTTACCGTCGCTGAGTTCTCTTTTCCTGTAATTATTTTTCCTCAGTGTTACGAGATGACTTCCGACAAAACCCCACAGATGTTGTAGTGGCAGCTGGAGAGCCTGCAATCCTGGAGTGCCAGCCTCCCCGGGGACACCCAGAACCCACCATCTACTGGAAAAAAGACAAAGTTCGAATTGATGACAAGGAAGAAAGAATAAGCGTGAGTTAAATTAAAATCGTGGCCCAGAGAGATTGAATTTTCAGTCCCAAAATACAAAATAGATGTATTTTATCCTTTAACTTATTATTAATATAATTGTTTTTGAATGTTAATTACAATTTATACTGCCTTGAAAAGATTTAAAAACATTTGGATGAGACTATAACAGACAAAAATTATGTAAATCCAGAGTACATGAAATATTAATTGCACCAATCTGAATTGTATCTTTACCCTGCAATATTTGGCTTTTTTTTTTTTTGAAACGGAGTCTTGCTCTGTCGCCCAGGCCAGAGTGCAGTGGTGCGATCTCCCTCACCCCAACCTCCGCCTCCTGGTTTCAAGTGATTCTCTTGCCTCAGCTTCCCAAGTAGCTGGGACTACAGGCGGGCACCTCCACGCCCAGCTAATTTTTGTGATTTTTGTATAGACGGGGTTTCACCATGTTGGCCTGGATGGTCTCCATCTCATGACCTCATGATCCACCCACCTCAGCCTCCCAACGTGCAGGGATTACAGGTGTGAGCCACCGTGCCCGGCGGATGTTATAGCTCTTTTATAAAAACTCCAGAAGCTTCTGTTAGCCATGCAGTACATGAGTGTTAAACTATAAATGATAGCCATAAGCCACATTAACTACATCTAATTTTGCACCATTTTCAAAAATTATAAGTGAAAATAATTTAAGGTGATGAATATCTCAAATGCTGTTTCCAGTTTTTCCAATTAAATAATATTTATAACAGTAAAATTTTATACATGAATTGATTTAAAAGCAGATTGAATAGATATCAAATAAAATTGAAATCAAAATAGCTGACTGATTCTGCATGTTAGCTCATGCGGAAAAATAACTGTTTTCAAAGGAAATTTATAATCAGATTCATCAGTTGATTAATATTCAAAATGAAACACACAGAAACAGGGGAATGGCATGTCATCATTTTATTTCTTCAGAGGATCCATGCAATATTCATATGTGAAGTTTTTAAGTGAGAACCAACCCACAGAAATAGTATATAATTGCTTAACTTTCTGATATTATTCAGTAGTAAAATTTTTATATTCAGTACAACTGAGAGTGAATATATTTAATTTAAGATAATTTCTCATTTGGCTGAATAAATGTGCCATTTTAATAAAAAATCTATAAAGTATTGATACTATATTAATATATATAGTCTTTATATATATATATATATAATTTTTGTGTGTGTGTGAGATGGAGTCTCGCTCTGTTGCCCAGGCTGGAGTGCAGTGGTGCGATCCCGGCTCACTGCAAGCTCTGCCTCCTGGGTTCATGCCATTCTCCTGCCTCAGCCTCCCGAGTAGCTGGGACTACAGGTGCCGCCACCACGCCCGGCTAATTTTTTGTATTTTTTAGTAGAGATGGGGTTTCACCATATTAACGAGGATGGTCTCAATCTCCTGACCTCATGATCTGCCCACCTTGGCCTCCCAGAGTGCTGGGATTACAGGCGTGAGCCACCGCACCCGGCCAATGTACACAGTGTGATTACAACATAAAACAGAACCAGATAGGCTATAGAAGAGATAACAATGTATATTCATGTGTTTCTGGTATAGAGGAAAAGAGAATTTTTCCCTTCACCCTTCAAAGATTTAAGTCTTTTAGTCCGCTGAAATAAACTGGCAATAGACAGTTTAATGGAAGGAGAAACATAGAAAAATATTTATATGTAAGTGCAAGGGAATCATACAAAGTATAAAACTCAAAGAAGGAATAGATGGTTGAAGCTTAATTACCCTCTTCATAGGATGAGGGAAGTGGGGATAGTAGGCAATTTTAGAGGAAGATTAAATGATCTTCATAGAAGATGAATGGGCCCAACAAATAGACAATAGCCTGAGACAAAGTTCCTCTGACCTCTGGGAAAGGTGGTGACAAGTTCTGGGAAGGTGAGGGGCAGAACTGCACTGCAAACAAAGGTTTTCTTATTACGTAGATAAAGTCTCTCAGATGACAACTCCAAGAAGAATAGTTGAACAGTCTGTCCAGTAGGCATGGTAATGACCTTTAGTTTCTTCTTTGGTAATTAATCTTTACAGGTTAATGAGATTTCAGACAGGGGATTTAGGGCAATTGGGTTTCTTTTGGAAGACCTTTTCTCAGTCAGATAAGGGAACTTTAGCAAGTTCCCCTCTCTGTTCTTGGGGCAAAGGAGGGGACAGAAACAAAGGAATGTCAGAGAGACATTGATGTTAAGAAGTTTCTGAGGACTTACGATTTCCTTTAATTCAAAGTGCTCAGAAAGCCAAAACACCACATTTTGGGGTATCATTTTCTGAGACCCAACACTAGTCTGACTGTTAACACTGTGAGATTGACATTACCAAAGAGAGTTTTGTTCTCAGTGGGCTTGCTTGGGTACCAAGTTTATGAAAATGTACTCCCAATGATGGAGTAAAATCAGCCAATGTTTAAGGATTGGTAGTTTATATTTATAGCATTTAGCTCTTGCCTATTTAAAGGAGTGCTGGCAGCTGAATAATCCAGGATGACCTTCCTCACAAGTCGGGCAGTTGGTTGACTCTCAGCTGGATATCTTGGTTCCCCTCCTTTTGATCTCTAATTTTCCAGCAGGCTAGTTCAGTAGGTTCCCATGTTGGTCTCAGGGTTCCAACTCAGCAAGAGAAGGCAAGACACAATGTACAAGAACCTTTCTTCCAGGGAAATATGTGCTTTAGTTCCATTGGTCAAATCAAGTCATATTACCTAGCTCTCAGCTTCAAGGGGGAGGAGAAATGACCTTCGTAGCCATTTTTATAAGCTCTCATTTTATTCTATTCTATTCTCAATTCTCAGACAGAATTGAGAACAGGTTAATGGTCTTTTCCGCCTATGTAAAAAAAAAAAGTTGAAAATTCCTTTCTATAGCATGACAAGTTGTAAATCTTGAAACATCTCTGATAAGTTTGAGTTATCAAACATGAGTTGTGTTTGCCTGTGAAATTAAAAAATAATGGAGAAAACCAACATGTTCTTATCTTGTATTTCTTCAAGAACACTCAATCTTTGTAAAGCTAATATTGAATTAAATGAATACCAAAAAAAAAAAAAAACTGGAAAAGAAACTGAGTTATACATTTACTGAAAGCCTAACTCTGCTTTAATGTTCTCTTTAGCAAATACGTATTTTAATATTATTGCATTTGTTTTTATCAGCCAGTAAATGCTTCTCATTTAAGAAATCTTGAAGGGGAACCTATTAGATGCTAATGATTTATACCAATACATATTACCATTTTATAAATTGTGTTTGTTTTTATCCAACCTGCCATTTTCATCAAGAATTATCTCTTCAATACAAGTAATATGAGACAAAGATGATTAATACTAACAGTTGAAATGTGAATTTTAGGGAGACAAAGATTTTTACCATTTGATTTACTACTGTCTCTTAAGTGTCCAGAATACTGCGCATATATGTATATATTCAGAAAGTATGTATACACACACACACATATATATACTTTCTGAATCCCTCTGATTCAGATGGATTTTATTAGATTATTTAAAATGAATATCAGTGTTTCTGATGACAAATGACAATAGCAACTTATTCAGATGAATTTCAGTGTGAAGACTAACTACTGGGATTTAGTGGGGTCAGTCACAAGACTCAAAATAGGATCAGGAAAGAGAGGACAGCTGCCTTAAAAAGTATTTTCTATGAAGAAAGTATGGAAACTTATATTGAGGGTGAATTTAAGAAAAGAAAGCATACCTACAAATGCCAAAATAATGGGAGAGATTTTTCCTTTGGGAAACAAATATGCTTAAATACTCAAAACTATTTATTAATGACCTTTTATTTTCTGTTCTGTTCCTTTTTCTTTCCCTTCTCTTTTCTTTTTGTTTGATTGTAACAGATCCGTGGTGGAAAACTGATGATCTCCAATACCAGGAAAAGTGATGCAGGGATGTATACTTGTGTTGGTACCAACATGGTGGGAGAAAGGGACAGTGACCCAGCAGAGCTGACTGTCTTTGGTAAAACTTTCTTCTAAATTATAATTTTTTTATTTTTATCAATTTTTCTTTGCTTTTAAGTATTACTAACATTAAAACCTGGGCCATGTAAGGACAGTTACTCATGACTTTTGGTAAGCAGTGACAAATTAGAATTATCTTGTTTTCTGGCTTTCCAATAAAAGCTTTGATGTAAAGAAAAAGTTATTTGAAGCTTCAGTTAACTTACATTGTTCATATATTTGTTAGATTTTGGAGTTCATCAAAAGGTAAAAATATGTTCTTTCTCAAAGCCTATTTGAGATATTACATCTATCTAAAGTTTATCACTCATTCCACTCTCATGCATTTATCAGGTAGCTATTATGCGCAAGACACAGGGTAAGGATTTTTAAAAATTAGAGAGTATAGTACAAAAAAACTTGTTTTCCCAGTTTTTAGAAATTCCAACTGAAGTATTTATAATTTCAACTATTGATAAAAATACTATGTATGCACACATATAAATTCAAAATTACAAAAAGGACCCCTAAAATGAGATATTTTGTTATGATATTCCTGTTCCTTCAACTTTAAGAACCAAGGCTCTCCTTAGCTGGATAAATGCAATTAATAGGTTAAAAACTGATTAGAACCATATCACATAAATGGTGGATAAAGTATCAGAAAGGAGAAAACTGGGGACAAAGATGGTCAAGGAAACAAATGTAAGGAAAATACTACAAGGCAACTGTGGAAGATTGAAAGAGAGATAAAATGACAAAAAAAAATGGAGAAAACAGATATGCTAAATATACTAAAAAATTAAACACTCTTTTAGAATACACGGAAGTTCTATTCAAACCTCTGTATAGACACACATTTATAGACACACACATGCACACACATACGTGTACATATATGTATGTATGTATATGTACATGTGTATATATACAATCTTCATTACACATTTTACTATTGCAGATATTAGGTGATATTTTAAGAGCAAAAATATCATTGTGATGTGTAAATTATTTTTCAGTACCAGTAAAATAATCCTCTACTTCTGTGCATGATATAAAATCCCTATTTGTGGTCATTACTCAGAACACACCCAAGTGTGGCACCAAAGCCCTGCATAGGTCCCTAAAGAAACTTCTTTTGCTAGTTTGGGAGATGCCATCCCATGGTGTAATGGGAGTGCCACTATAGAAGGAACTGTATCAAGATGTCTGCGATTTTTCAAGTGTTAAGATTGTGCTTTATGCATGTGTACCAGAATGCAGACCTCTCCTTTCAATCATTCTGAGCACCGGGTAATCTCTGGTAACACTCCCTGCGGCTACTAAGCAGCTTGAAGTCCCAAATGACAAAGCTAGGAGAAATCCCGTAATTCATTAAAGTAATTGAATAGAAAAACTAAAATTGTTCAAAGTGTGCATGTAGATTTCTATCCTGCAGAGCTCAGACAAGTGTGAGTTTGCCCCTTCCTTTCATGCAGTCCTCTGTAAGAGTCTCAAGATGTGCTCCACTCTGTAATGAATAAAATACAGTTTTACCTGGGAAGATATGATATTAGTGGTCACTGAACGTTAGCATTGAAAGCCCACAAGTACAGCTCTTCTATTTAAAGAAACACTCGTTGCTGTTTTTCTGTAACTACCACAAACTCTGGAATAGGAAAAAAAAAAAAAAAAGCTGTATTACTACAGCATAGACTGCCTTCAGAAGGAAATTGAAAGAGTTTAATGTCATTACTGAAGCAATTAGACTTACCACTAATGAGACATCCTCATGAAATATTTACTGTACCTTCCCTAAAGAAATGATGAGAACTACTGGGGATTCCTAAACATGTCAAGAGTTATGTGAGAACTTCTAAATTATTTCGAAAATAGCTATCATCCAAAGAGACTGAATTTGTCTAGAGGCAGTTCCCCTGGCAGAATTGATTTAGGAAACTGAGAAATGTTTATTAGATGGTGTAAGCTAGTCAGAACTGACCTGAGGGGTGATAAGTACAAGATTAAGTTGAGGGAAAAACTAACTTTCTATTATTGGTAAGAAAACAACATCCAAATCCAAAAGAAAAACAACAACAAAGAAAGTGATGGTCCAAATCAAGGATGTGACAAGTATTGCCCGAGAAACCCCTTCTGTATCTTGGCTCCTTATTCTTAGAGAATGTAAAAGAAACAGTGTACTATTAATAGAGAGATCTTCTTTATTTTACACTGGTACTCCTACATCTAATACACATTTTCCAATAAAACTCTTTATATTTTAGCATTGTTACATATTATCAGTTTTGACCTAATGTTTACATAAGTAACATTGATTATACTTCATACAATTTTATTTTCATGGAGCAGCAATTTCACTTTTAAAGGTCTGGCTACTATAAGCATTCTGTAGCTACAGAAGGTTTTTAAATGTCCTTTGCAATTCAATCTTTACCTTAAGATATGTTATACAGAACAAGTAACATTTTGTTGTTCAAAAAAATAAGTATATGTATAAGTAAAATAACATTTAATTGTTCAAGAAATGTAATTCACTTGTAAATGCCAAGAAAAACAGTGAAAGGATTAAAGTTTTTTTTTTCAATATAATAGCTATCTACTTTCCGAGACATATTGCTAGGAAAAGGAATTTCTCAATTCTTCAAGTATTTTGATTCTAGTGGGCTTGGACTTTGAAGTTTTATAGTTTAATATTTCAACAGTATATATTTTAAATGTGCCATTTGGTCATATCAAAGATATGATCAGTGTGACCTAATTTTAAAAAGTTACTGTGCCATTCTCCACAAATCACGTATTGTGGTTGATCTTCTAATATTTTTTGGCCATGAAATAACATCCTAATTAACTGGGCATTATCAAATCTAAAAATTAGAAGTAGGTATCATAGTCTACAATAGCACTCACATCTATGGCTAATCTATACACCTTCCTGAAGAATAGCCCCAGAAGTTTACATATGTTAAGCTCTAAAGATCCCAGATGGCAAAGGAAGTAGAGTTGAAGTAAATAATTCAGTTTCTAATTATGAGTAGATATCAGAGAACTGCTATCCAAAATTCAACTGGTTTTTAAAAATGACATGTGGATTTTAAAATGATTTTTAGGTGTTTATCATTGCAATACATGAAAACTTATTTTATGTGTAACATTTGTAAAACATAACAAATATTACAAAACTTAGAATGAAATACAGGAATCTCTTGCCCCAACACACACACACACACACACACACACACACACACACACACACTGTCTCGCCCACACACACACATTTCTCATCATTTTACATTCTGTTTTATCTAGTTCTTCTGGGATTTGTTTCTGTATTTCTGAATATGTGCTTAACCTGCTATTTATCATTGTATCAATGTCATACATTGTTTGACTTCCTATTATGGAAGATGACGATTTGGCCCACTTATATCTCCTTCCCCACCTTCTCACCTCCACTTTTCCTTCTTTTTCTCTTTTTACTATATGAACTTCAGAAACATTGGTTATATTAATATTCAGAATTTGAGTTACTATAATCATATAAATATTATTGACTGTGAGTTGAATGTTATAGTATTATGACCATATTTCTTTTCTGGTACTCTTTTGGTTCTTCTTTGAATTAATAATAAACCCCTTTTCCCATTTACTTATGCTTGTCTATACCTGTCATGAATTCTTGAAATCTCTAACAGGAACTATAAAATCTTCTATAATCTATTTTTTTAGACTTTAGCTATTAAGTCCCCTTCACTACAGCCTTCCCTGAGGCTGCCTGATCTGACTTGGTTAGCTATTCCTTAGGTCTACCCCATAAACCTGATTCTGATTTTGTCTTCCTCATCTGTAATGTTGGATCTTCTGTTTTCTGCATGCTGTGTTTGTTTCTTGGTGAACCCCTCTTTTCAGAAGGGGGGTTCTCAACTTCTTTCTGCTTGGCTGAAGCTTGGAGCACATTCCAACCAAAACTCCTTTACTCTATCCAAACCTTAGAGTTCTAGTTTAGAATTATACTTTAGTTAGGGAATTTGACTTAAATAATATTTTTGCTTAGAATATTAAAGTTGTGACTCTAATAATCATTTAGCTTCTCATGATGCTCTTGAGAAATCTGTGATTCTGATTCCTGTATCTTTGTATGTGATCAGTTTTCTTTCTTTTTTTTTTTCTTTCCAAATGTTTGGTACTCTCTTTACCCCAGTGTTCTGAAATGGTTCAATACATTACCTTAGTTTGACACTCTTTTATCTTCCTCTCTATATAGGTGATAAGCAATCTCAATCTGAAAACTCTCAACTAAAACAATTCAATGAAATTTTTAATTTTTAAAAAATTTTTCTTTGTCAAACATGTTTTCATTAATTAGATTTTGAACCTCCTTGGTTTTTCTTTTCTCTAATTCCTCCTTACTTATAGCATCCTGTTCCTTTGTAGCAGAGAGTATTGTTTTTGTAATTTGTATTTTATTTTATTTTTTCCCCAACTTTTACTAAGTTTCCAGGTATATGTGCAGGATGCGTAGGTTTGTTACCTAGGTAAACTTGTGCCATAGTGGTTTTTGCTGCACAGATTAACCTATCACCTAGGTATTAGGTCCCGCATCCATTAGCTGTTCTTCCTGATACTCTCCCTCACCATGCCCCTTTGTCCGGCTCCAGTGTGTTGTTACCCCGATGTGTTCATATATTACCATTGTTCAGCTTCCAATTATAAGTAGAACATGTGTTGTTTGGTTTTGTTTCTGCAGTAGTTTGCTAAGGATAATGGCATCCAGCTCCTTCCGTGTCTCTGCAAAGGACATGATCTGACTCCTTTTTCTGACTGCATAGTATTCCGTGGTGTATTTGTACCACATTTTCTTTATTCAGTCTATGATGGGCATTTGGGTTGATTCCATGTCTTTGCTATTGTGAATAGTGCTGCAATGAACATACATGTGCATGTATCTTTAAAACAGAATGATTTATATTTCTTTGGGTATATACCCAGTAATAGATTGCTGGGTCAAATGGTATTTCTGTT